AGAAGTGATTGGTAGCTCGAATTTGAGCCTCCCAAATTCAAAAACGACGTCGTTTTCGTCGTTTTTGATTATTTTTTTTTCAGAAGAAGAAAATCAGAATAAGAGAAGGAAGAAGGAGGAAGAAGAAGAACTGGACTGGAGGGGCCATCAAAATCGGGCTGGAGGCGGAGGCAGAGGCAGGGGGCGGAGGCGGAGGCAGAGGCAGAGACGGGGGCTGCGAGGCAGAGGCAGAGGCGACGGCGGGCGACGATCGGGCGGAGGCGACGGCGGGCGGAGCTCCTCCTCTTCCCCTCTCTTCTCTCTCTCATTTCGGGCTATTCGGGGGGGGAATTTAGGAGGAAAAAATATTTCTGTTTAAATTATTAGAATGGAAGTCATGATGGACCTTACAAACCCAGTTGGGCTGGGTTGGACAACGTGCTTGGTACAATTAATTATAAAAAATTTACTAATTTATAATTAGTTTAGCACTCCAATTTCCCATGTATAACTTATTATTTACTATTTTTAGTCGATGGTATGAATTTTAGTGTCCATTTCAATAAATCCCCCACCAACACATGGAGCATAAGCTTATGACCATACATCTTACTTAAAAATTGAGTACTAAACAATAATTAAATGATGATTTGGTGATGAGTTGTGATCTAATAGTATAAGTGGTGATGAGTTGTGATATAATAATATCGAATTCATTAGTCTTCAATTTGAGAAAATTGATATTCACATATCTTTTAGTCACACATACTCTCACACTTCCCATTGTGAGACACAATCTCATGCATAAAAAGTTTGTGTATATATTATTACTAAATCAATCAATTCTAGGCGTTAAATCCTATTAGGAAGGAATTTAACAATTGGTTAGTAATAAATAAAACTTAATATAAAAACGAGGTGAATTTCTCAAAATATTATTTACCACACAATATGATCAGAAATTGTGATTCTAATTTTACTTTGATCTTACCAAAATCGTTGTTTATGCATATGCGTTTGACATGTTGATAAAAAAAAAAAAAGTCAATTTTTTTGTTTTTATTTTTAGTGAGTTTTTTTTCCAAATTTGTATCAATTTTTTTTATTACTTTTATAATCCGCCTAGTGTAGACGAGTCTAAAAAGTAAAAAAATATATATAATAATAAAATGTAAAATGTTTACTAAAAACTAAAAAAAAAAAAGTCAAAAAAATTATTATTTTTTATTTTTTATTTGCCTTTAGTGGACTTTTCTTTTAATTTTTTTTAAAACTTATATAAGTCGTCTAATCGAATAAAATTTAAAAAATTATTTTTTTAAAATTTAAATGCATTTTGGTCTAAAAATGGGGAAAAAAAAAAAAAAAAAAAAAACTACTTGAAAAAGCAAATCCCAAATGAGCCAGGGACATGAACAGAGATGTTAGACAACCTTCTATTTCCTTGACCGTTAGCGATCCAAAAGTCCATTTGCAATGCATCACCATTATCTCATCTGCCTTAAATTTATAATTTCTTATATATATATATATATATATATTGTTTCATGTGTATTTTGGGGAAAAGAGAGGAATCATGTATATTATTACATATTTTTTTAATAAATATTATTAATTATTGCAATAAATGTCTTCTTGATTTATCATAATTTATGATAGAGTTATGTACCTGAGTTTTGTTAATAGTGTTCTTAGGGCAATTGATAATAAGTTTGACATGTTTATACATGATGTATGGGAGTGTGCGTAACATATAATGTATAATTAATTTAAATATTGTTAATCAATACTCTTAAGACACTCGTTAATCAAACATAAAATACTACTTAACATTTGCTACAAAAATTCATAATATTAACCTAAAAAAAATTGTAACAGAATACATACAATATGGCCTATTTTAAAAAGTATGTTAAAAAGTTTATTTTTTGACATTTTTTTTAAAAAAATGTGTAAAAAATAGAGAGATAATCAGCTTGCTTATTTTCATTTTTTAGAAAACACTTTTCAAAAAATTCTACTCTCTTATTTTTCGTGTTTTTTTGTTTTTACTGAATTTTTTTAATATTTTAAGCAATTTTTTTACTTTTTAGACACACCTAACATAAATACACCTAAAAAGTAAAAAAATTGTAAAAAAAATCTTTTAAAAATTCACTAAATGCCAAAAATACAAAAAAAAATATAAGAATTCAGTACATTTTTTATATTTCTATGTATTTATTAATTTTTTAAAGTATTTTTTCACAAATTTTTTACTTTTTAGATACATCTAACTAAGTTGTATCTAAAAAAGTAAAAAAAAAATGTTTAAAATTTAAAAAATATTCACTAAAAATAAAAGAATACGAAAACCAAAAAATTTAATTTTCAAAAAATTTAATCCAGAAAACTCAAACCAAACACACTGAATATGATTTTAAAATGTCAAAAAAAAAAAAGAGTGCTTACATGTAGATCTTAATAAGTAGACTTATTATTTAATAAGTCCTATGAAAAAAAATTGTCATAAAAAAAGTTACTAATTGTAAGTTTTAGTGAAAATTATCAAAATCATGACAAAAAAAAGTCCCTAATTGTAAATTTTTTTTAGCAACATATATAAAAAATTGTCACAAAAAAATTATTTTTAACGACAATTTTACTAAGACTTATTTTTAATAGGGTTTGATGGGAATTAAGTCTAACTATTAGGACTTATTGATAATTTACACCAAAAAAATAATAATAAAATTACTTTAAATCTAATTACCAAAAGAGGCGCTTGTATCTTTTAGGATATATACCGGAGCATTTCCCAAAATAGATTTTGGCCCTATTTAGTAGGGTTTATTTCAGCTTTTACCTTAATTTAAGCTATTTTGATGTGTTTAGTTCAGCTTAACAATACAGCTTATAACTTTTTGTAAGTCAAAAATCAACTTATTCTTTAAGTGGGAGAGGAGAAGCTTAATTTATAAGTCAAAAATCAACTTATGTTCACAGCTATAAACTATAAGCTGTTAAGTTATAAGTTATAATTACTTTCTCACAGCTCTATCAAACGGGCCTTTATTTGGTTATTATGGGATACTTCTTAGTCCTCCACATGAATCATTTCTTGTTTAGCATCTCAAATATGGAAAGCAAAAATCATTAATTAAGAGAAATATTTTGAAACCATTCTCACATGAAGTTGGATTGGACCTGAACTTTTAAATTCATCCAGCTAATAATTAAATGAATTTTCATTTTTTTGAGTCAAACTCAAGAATTAGATATTGTTGGCTTTCGAGGGTTAATTATGTAATTTTAAATGTGTCAGTAAGAATCAATCAGTCCTTACAGAATTTTAATTGCTAACTAATTATCAGACAATTATGTTGAAATTCTTTAAGTCTCAATGAAGAAAACTTTTATTGGTGGTTTGTTTGAAGAGAAATTTATAAGAAATAACGAATACAAAATAATTCAGAAACTGAACTTCATTAAGTAAATAGAAACTTACAATGAAATGACCCAGCCTTGAAAAGGTTTACAACAACGACTACTTGAAACTACTCTTGAGAAAAAAGAGCAATACATGAATTAAAATGCTAGAAATGTAAAGAGCTGAAAATATAAAACTGGAAAGAAATATAAAGTAAATAAACTGATTTCTAGATCTGAGTCTAGATCCTTTACCATGTAATCATGAATGACTATTTATAGGGAAAATATTTGTAGGAAAAAACTACTTTCAGTAATAACTACCCAATAACCACATAAAACTATCCATTCTTCCATCTTCATTCTCATAATACCACATATCCCTCTATCTCTTCATAACTTCCTTTGACCTCTAATTTATGTTCTATATTCTCCACTTTGCCTTCCATATTCTTTCACATTATGCTCCATAATCCTACACATTCTCCATCATCTTTTCACATATATTTAATAATTCATAACTTCTCATAACATTTAAATGAGTAGAAGAGTATCACGTGTCTTGTAATTTATCAATAATAATAATAATAATAATAATAATTACAAATTTATGACCCCAACAGATACATTATACAATATGCAGTCAGACTGATGTCACTACAAGAAATACAATTTTCAATGGCGTTTTTAAAACGCCGCTAAATATGTGAAAAACGCCGCTAAAACTTTTAATGACGTTTTTATTATACGTCGAAGATACGGCCGTCATTAAATGTTTGCGACGTTTAAAAAACGCCGTTGTAGACCTTATTGCGACGTTTTAAAAACGTCATGCTACAGTCACCGGCGGTGATTCCTTTCGGCGAGATGACGTCATACATACCCTATAGCGGCGTTTTTCACTAAAATCATTTTTCTTCTTTTTTTGTTTTGTTTTGTTTTGTTTTGTTTTGTTTTGCAGGAATGACCTAATGAAATTTTAACCATTCAGCAATAATATTTTATTTGCTACTAGTTAGAATTCTCCAAAATATATTCAAACCCTGTTTCAAAAAATATATACATTCAACCAAACACATCAAAATTGAAATTACAAAAATCACAACCAAATTCATATACTCTATCATCATCTCAAATTTAAAATACTAAGAAAAGAATAAATGTAACAAAAAAAAAAAGGGGTACAAATATGATTGATACACAACACTTCGAAGCATCAATTTCGAACTTCTTTAACTTTGGAAAAAAGTTTCCCAATTTTTCCCGAGTTCATATAAGTTACATTCCTGCCAAAAAAAAGGAAGACAACATTTCACACAACTGAAATGTAGAAAATATTAGAGATGAATCACGATCAAATCACCTTGTCTAGCCAAACTGCAACATATGATTTTAATCCATAAGTTACTTGCAGAAATTTCCCAAGAAATACAAAACACAATACTTTAAAAGAAATTACACAAATAAATTAAAAACTCCTCTCTATTTTTGAGTCATGAGTTCTATATATTTTTCTGCACGTTTACCCTATGTAGCTAAACCTATATAAATTTCAGAACTTGATTTATATGTAGATGCCAAGATACAGATTTCAACTAATCAAGTACATAAAAGCCATTTAGAGCAATCCACAGCCATAACCCAATGTAGAACAAAACCCTAGATGGAAGAAGATCTCTTTTACAAATCAAGTGCGCAAAAATAAGATTACCAAAATGAAAATCAAATGAGAAGTACTCGAGATTGAAGGAGACATATCAAAGAGCTAAAATTCTAGTCTTCATTTGACCAGACTGAATGTGTATAGATACATAACTATTTCTTAACTGTTTAGGCAGGGTTTTAGATCAACATATAAGTAAATAAAAAATAAATGAAGAAGGCAGTTATATTACACAAATACATACATACATACATATAAATAAATAAAAAATAAATGAAGAAGGCAATTATGCTCTATAATCCTGTACATTCTTCATCATTTTTTCACATATGTTTAATAATTCATAACTTTACATAACATTTAAATGAATAAAAGAGTATCACGTGTCTTTTAATTTATCAATAATAATAATAATAATAATAATTACAAATTTATGACCCCAACAGATACATTATACAATATGCAGTCAGAAGCATACATGGAAAGATAGGGCCAATGCCACAATCACAAACACTGACATAACCAAAAAAAAAAAAAAAAAAAATACCAAAAGAACTGAATCAAAAAAAACAAACGCTGACCTACGTGCAGAGCGTCTGCATGCATGTAAAGACGTGTAGTGCAGTTTACGGCATATTTCTATGCAATGGTCCGTTTAATAGAACTGTGAGAATGTAATTATAATTTATAACTTAATAATTTATAATTTATAATTGTGAACATAAGTTAATTTTTGATTTATAAATTAAGTTTTTTCTCCCTCACTTAAAAAATAAGTTGATTTTTAACTTACAAAAAACTATAAGCTGTATTATTAAACTGAACCAAACACATCAAAATAACTTAAATTAAGTTAAAAATTAAAATAAACTGAAAATAAACCCTACCAAACATCACAATGAAGAAGGTAGCCAATACCTATGGTTCAATAATGGTACGATGATCACAACAGTATATATTATAAAGTATGGTGAGACTTGTTTGCAATCTATTGTTATTCGGTCTTGTGTCATCTATCATAGGGTTTATTTTAATGATTATATGTAGATCATTTATGTTAGATAATGTCTCAATGGGACCACATAATTAAATGTGGTGTTATCATTTATAAGAAGCCTACAATTTAAGTGATTCAATTTAATTAATAGGCTTAAGGGTATATGTGTTATGGACCTAATGTGTAGATACTAATTGTATAATTTCTATTTCTATGAGGGGCAAAAATAGAAATTAAAATAAATTGGTTAAAGTTGGTTTTCATTCCTTTTGAACTTCCACAACCTTTCAGTTTTGAAAACCAATTACAACCTTTAAAAGGTTATGGCCGAGCAATCTCACAAGGGTATTGGTGGCCATACATGCAAGCCGATTCAGATAAGTATGTCAAGAAGTACGAGAAATGTCAGAAGTTTGCACTAGTAAATGATCCAAAGTGTAAGGTTTATGTTCTGAAATTTATGTTCACAATTTATACATAAAAATTAAATTAATTCAATACTCATAAATATATAATTTTATCATATTTTTCTTTCAAAAAATAGATAATAAATGATAATTATAATTTAAAAAATAGACTATTCATGTTTTTTAAGATGAATTTAACAAAATTATATAACTATCATATCATTCTGATTTTTTTGTTTGATTGGTTATATAAAATTCGACAAAATAAATAGTTTAGATAATCGAAATGAGTCCGTAGTGAGTCCCAAAAACCCAATAACATCCTCCATTAGAGACAAACCTGAATCTATGAAGTATTTATTATCTCATATGTCATCATTTCATTAATTTGAGAAATATTTCAACAAAAATTGCTTAGAGATCCTAAGATAATATTCACATGAGTGTGGATCTCATATGGTGTGGTCCCTATATCAATAAAAAATTGTGTCAATTATTTAGTTTTTTTTTTTTTTTTGAGTCCCTATGATTGCTAAAGGAGGATGGTGAGTAAAATTATATAGATTTTTAAGGGGTAAAAACACTAATTTTTATTATAAATACTCAAAATAACATGGATCAAATGAGATTTTTATGAAGCATGAGAAACTAATGTAAAATTATAAAAATTTAAAGGATAAACTACAGTAGATTTTCTTAAATTGTGCTCGATTTGCACTTTGTCCTGTTGAATTTTAAAAGGCAACAATTAATCACATCAAACTATTAGTATCTCGTTACACTTAACATTTTTTAGCAGAATTTTCTTCAAACTTAAACGGAATCAAGCCATGTGTGAAACACATGATACACTTACTAATTTTTTAAAATAAAAATATCCGTTATTGATTTTTTTAGGAAAATAATAATATTATTTAGTGATCTCTTTTAGTAAGACAAAAGTAATCGAAATTAATGTAAATAATATAAACACATAAAAATAAAAAAAATAAAATATATATTTAATACTGTAAAAAATATGCCGGTATTATTTTTCTATTGATATAATTAACAAATTTTGATAAAAATATGACCTATTGTTATGTACAATAAAAATTTAAAAGACTCCAAAGCTTTTTTTTTTTTCAAATTTTAAGAAAAATTAAAATAATTGATGTACCTAAATACTAATGAATTAATAATGAACGAGACACATGTGGTTATTTTGGAGGAAAGATCAAGAAAGAGAAAAATAGCATTAAATTCCAAATTGATTCCCCGCCTAATTGTTAGCCTTCGCAGCTGTCTTATGCCTTCGTTTGGATATGAGTTAGTTTTTTAATTTTTTAATTTTTTTAATTTGGGATTAAAAAATTTATTTGGGATGAATTTTTTGATTTTTATGAGATAAAAAATAAAATAATTATGATTTAAATGTGATATTTTATTTTATTAACTTTTTAACTTATTTTATTTTTTATGACTATTTTAATCTAAAAAATGATGATGATTTAAATGTGATATTTTATTTTATTAACTTTTTAACTTATTTTATTTTTTATGACTATTTTAATCTAAAAAATGATGTTAAACATATTTATATTTTCATGGGACCGAGCTATCACTGTGTGTCAAACAAAATTAAGTTAAACAAATATATGTAACTACATAATTAGATTTTAATTATTTTAAAAAATATTATTAAAATTAAGGCAAATTACACTGACAATTCTTATAATTTGAAATTTGTGTCACTTTAATCCCTAACTTTTCAATTGTGACATGTTTGATCTTAAATTTTAAATCTTGTTCCAAATAAGGACAATCGAAGATATAATTGTTTAATTTCAAGGCAAAGTCGTCAATTTAATAAAATATAAACTAATTTGATAAAAATAAATGTTAAAAAAATATTGTTAATTTTTTTTAAATTATTTCTATTCACTAAAGATAAAATTATGTAAAATTGATCAAAATTAATAAAAATTACATGATTAATTTTTAAAAATTACATGATTAATTTTTAAAAATTAATTTTACATGATCATCATCCAAACATATAATAAAAATTAATTTGATAAAAAAAATAAATAAATGTCTAAAAGATTTATTAATTTTACATAATTTTATCTTTAGATGGTAGAAATAATTTTTAAAAATTCAAAAATATTTTGTTGACATTTATTTTTTGTCAAAGTAATTTATATTTTATTAAATTGACGATTTTACCCTTGAAAAATCTAATGGTATCTTCAATTGTCCTTATTTGAAATAAGATTCAAAATTCATTACCAAATGTGTCACAATTGAAAAGTCAGGAACTAAAATGACACAAGTCCCAAACTATAGAGATTATTAGTGTAATTCACCCTTAAAATTATGATAATCATTTATTTTTTATAAAAAAATATTATCTTGTTATAGGACTATAAATAAGCGATTAATGTTATTTTTTTCATGAGTCATCTATTTAACAAATTTTATAATACGAGCAATTTAAATAATTGAAATAGGTTCGAAATAAATCTTCACGCGCCTTACAACAGGTGTTGCGACAATCATGGCACCAATCCCAATTCCATAAATTACCCTTTTAACATTTAGAGAGTATAATCAGTTTTATATTTTTGATATAATTATATATATTTTTTTTAGAGATTTTAATACATAAAATACTTAAGTCCTTTTTTATCAGTAATTTATACATCGTATGAATAAAATGATAATATTGTACTCTCTTTTTTCTACTCAAATGTATATTTATTTCTATATCTATCCACTATTTATATTAATTTTGATTACTTTTGATGATACAGTTCCTACACAATGGGTCCCAGGTAGAATGGGTAGGACTAATCCACGCTTCTTCAACCGGTAACTGAGTGTTCAAGCCTACCAGAAAACCTGCACAGGAGTTCAATGGGGAACGGGAAGTCCCTCAGTGAACCCTCCAACGAGCAAGTTAGAGAGAGAGAGAAGTGAAATGTAGAGAGATGGAGTGGAGATAGAAAACTTAACCTTCTTCTTGTCTTCAACGTTTGCTTATATCCTTTGGTCATCATTTCGCTGTCCCTTCCGACTTGCCATCTTGGCCGAAAGTCTATGCTGTAGCTTACCTTGTTCAGGGTAAGGGGGTGCTATTCCGACGGAGAGGTGTTGTCGTAATAAATGTTGTGATGGGCTGCATTAATGGTGATGTGCAGTGGCAATAACTTTACAGATCTTTGTCTGCTGATGTGGCTTGTCCTTTACCTGCCGTATGCCTGAAAGTCATTGGCACTTTATGCTACGTTGGATTCCAGCAGTTTTGGAATTTATCAGCTGGGTTATGTATTGGGCTCCAAGTGATGGGCTTGGATTGTTCATAGTGGGCTATGGCCTTTATGGGCTTACCCACGTCAGTAGTCCCCCATTCCCGAGTGTAGCTTTAGTCCAACGAAGGAAATACTAATGAAGAGAATGAGGATGTTCGAGATTGGTGGGATGGAGG